TCTATCTCTATCTCTATCTCTATCTCTATCTCTTCACTCCACCGCTAAATTAATGGTGCAGTCACAATAGAAGAAATAAGGAATACGGAATAACAATACCAACTTATCAAAAATCATGTATTCCGATGTATCCGATTTCTGATAGGTTGAAATCTTTATTCTTTATTTCTAATTCCTTTCTTCTATTGTGCACCTTAATTGAGAAGATTGAAGAGAAAATAAAGAGTGGAGAGAGGATTAAAAATGGCGGATGCGAATATCTATATTAGTGCTCTAATTTTGGGCCGTCATGTCCTCTCTCAAATTTCTCTCTGTACATATACCGTACATACATAGTGGTAGTGTCATCCATAGCGAGCGATTTCGATAATAATAGGAAAAAGACTGGCATGATCCCTCTCAGGTATTTTTCTATGATCTCGTCGGTAACGGAATTAATAAAACAGTTATCATATGGTATATTATCCACTGAGAAATTTCACGAATGTTGCTACGTAGTATATTTTATAGATGTAGAGATCAATAGAGCCGTTTTTCGTTCTTTCCAATTCTTTCTATGCTTGAATTTTTACATCATGTATACATAATATTCGTATTATTAATATAATATTATTATAGTTGTTCCATCTTCGCGGATGAACTATGTGATAATTTATCTATAGGATAAACAAAATAATAAAAGTGTAAGAGCATAAAAGAGTTACGAGAGTAAGACAGTGAGCCTAAATTTACCGAAAAGTGGAACAATCCGTCCTTAATGAAATAGGTACATGCATACACATATTAGATAAAACTTATATGTACATACGTACATTCTTTATTGATTACAAGTCGCCTAAAATAATATTAGTAATTCTTTAAATTAATTAATAATAAATATTTTGAATTTTTCAGTGTAGTTTAAACAATGTTATTCAGCAGAAGCACATCTGTATTTCGACAATGTTTGCAACGGAAATTTTTTACGACCGTTGATACATTCTATCTCGTAGAATTACAGAAAAATTGTCGAAAAAATATATATGAATACAATCAAACTCGTAATTTTAGAAATTTTGGTCATACTAGAAGAAAATCTCGCTTTATCTATAGTATTCCAATTGCACTTTGTTGCATTGGTATGGCTATAACTGTAAGTTTTGATTGGCAACGGTAAGTGAAGTAAATAATATTAATTGTAATCAAATGATGCAATACATTAAATATATTATTCAACATATCAATTGTTCTATATTGTTCTATATTTTGCAGTCTGCTTAATATAGTACCTAAAGTAGATGCTGCTAGTATCTTGGACTCAGAAGAGACTCAGAATAATGAAAACATGGAAAATATAGAACAAGATGTACAAAAGAAGAAGAAAAACAAAAAACAGAAAATTGGATTTCGTGATAGAAAGGTTTATTAAAGACTTGCATTAGCCATAGTAATATATGCATATATATAATTTTTCAAGATTGTCTTTGAGAGTTAGATTACCAAGATTATTAAGATTAATTACATAGTAAAATAAGAAAGAGGGAGATATATATGCATGTATAAAATAATTATTTTTCTCTGTGTTAAAATAGCACTGTAGATTTTACAATGTACTTTTACTTGTACTAGTATATGTCTATGCAGAACGATGCAGGCTCAAGTATTTTTACAGATAATAGAGTATGAGAATAGGATTAGAGCATATTCGACGCCTGACAAAATCTTTCGTTACTTCGCGACTGTAAAAGTAATTAATTTAGAAGGTATTGAAATCTATATGACACCTAATGATTTTCTCCGAGCTATCACACCAAATATGCAGCAACCAAATGGTAGGACTTTCAAAATTTTATTATATTGGTTAAAACATAATTCTGGAATTGGATTTTTTTATTTACAATTATTTACAATAAATTGTAATAACAACTTACCTGCTTCGCTCTGCTAACTAAACATTTCCATACTAATTTCCTATCTAATATCTTGTATAAACTGTTGATTGCCAAAATCGGATATGAATAATATCGTAGTACAAGTATTTCCTAAAATTAAAAATTGATAATTTTGCACATTAATTAATTTAAAAATTCGCGACTATCTATTCTCTTAATTGTTTTATATGCAGATAATAGAATATGAAAATCGTATGAGGCATTATTCAACACCAGACAAAGTATTCCGTTACTTTGCAACTCTTCAAGTCACAAACAATGATATACACGAAGTATTTATGACGCCAGATGACTTTTTAAGATCGATGACACCTGGTGTGAAACAGCCTGATGGTAATCCCATATCCCCTTCTATATGCAACTTTCCTCACTTCTTAAATGAAATATTGTTAAATATAAATTTTTTAATTAACTGTGACGTGCTTGACTGATTCCTTGTGATGCAGCTTTTCTTGCATGTGCAAAACAATTAACATTTTTAAAAGTTATAATTTATATTTAATATATATTATTATATTTTTTTCAAGATTATATTATCAGATCTATCTTTCTCTCATATAAGATAGTATATTAAAAAATATGTAATAATAAGAATTACATTAATTTTCAGGTCTTGGATTAGATCAGTACAAACGTTACGACCCAAAGGTACGTAAATGAAATTCAATGAAAAGTACTCAATCAAGAGATATTTTTTAATAAAAATATTTCCTTTCCTATTTAGAATATTCACACTAAATTAGAATTAGAATTGGACGAAGATAGCATCTTCTACAAACTAGGCAGTGCAGGCCTTATTACTTTCTCAGATTATATCTTTTTATTGACTGTATTATCAAGTAAGTCGTTTATTTTGTCAATTTTTAATTATGTATGAAATTATGTATAAAAATGTTTGCAATGTAATTAAAAATACATTTTCGTTCGAATGTATATCAATTGAACTTTTCACATTGCATAATAGGAACATCAAGTTTCAAATCTGTTTTACAGCTTCTAGACGTCATTTTGAAATCGCCTTTAGAATGTTTGATTTTAATGGAGATGGTGATGTAGATTCCGAAGAATTTGGAAAAGTAGCTACATTGATACGACAACAAACTAGTATAGGTACTCGACATCGCGATCACGCGACTACAGGAAATACATTTAAGGTTATAATATTTATAGTTTTCTAGTTTTGTTGTATATCATCGTGAACAATAAATATTAAATGCTTATTAATTTGAAATATATTATATATAAAGCACAATCATATATAATATATGTAAGCACAATCAGACTTGATTGACTAAACAAAATCTTAATCATTTTTTTTTATTGGAATTTTAGGGAGTAAATTCTGCGCTAACAACATATTTTTTTGGACCACAAATGAATCAAAAGCTAACAATCGAGAAATTCTTGGATTTTCAGCAGCAGCTGCAACGAGCAATTTTGAGTCTTGAAGTATAGTATATCGATCTTACAGATTTGTCATAATGTACACAGCCACTAATTCCATATTATTA